AGGGACACAGGAAGTACCTCCCTCTCTCGGGGAAGCTAGGAGCACTGCAGGAGGTAAGATTTTATCTCTGAGCTCTGACCTCTCGGCTTTTCTCTTTTACCTTGGCTCTGTGTTTCTTATTTTAATAATACGATTGGTTACATCTACAAGCTTGCCTAGCACGAAAGCATGAGGCCCTGGGTTCAGTCCCCAGTACTGAAGAAAAATATTAAAGAAAAAGTAGGAAAAAAAAGTTTCTACAGCTGCATTTCAAACGAGTCAGTCACAGAGATCTGCCTGTCTCTGCCTCCAGAGTGCTGGGGTTAAAGGAGTTCACACACACACACACACACACACACACACACACACACAGCACTTGCTTGCTCAGATATTTTTAAAGACCGACTTCCTAGGCTTTCAGAAAGTAACATCACATAGAAAGCCTGGTAATATTTGTTTGTTTGTTTTTTGAAACAGGATCTCTCTGTGTAGCTTTGGAGGCTGTCCTGGAACTCACTCTGTAGCCCAGGCTGGCCTCAAACTCTGAGATCTGCCTGGCTCTGCCTCCTGAGTGCTGGGATTAAAGGCGAGCGCCGCCACCACCGCCTGGCGCCTCTGCCAATCTTGACCCCAGCTGATCCCATCCTGGGAGCAACAGTGTTGTCTCCAAAACAGTAAAAGCAAAAAAATAAAAGAGGTGGGGGTGGGGGGGCTTGCACTCTGCAAAGGCCAAGCTTTCTCTGTGACTTCCTAGTGGGTATTCCTTCCAGAGTCTGGATCTACTCCCTGAAAACAGAAACAATATCACCCCTTAATAGAGCGATTTCCATTTACCCACCTTTCAAAAATCCGAAGGAAAAACAGACACTTTATGCAATGTACAAACACGATAACGCTAAGTGTGAAGTTTAACGAAGCACGAAGAAAAGTAGGGACAGACACCGGACGTTTTATAAAAGGTTAAAAGTGTTTCGTTTTGTTTGCACTTACCCACTCTTCCACATTGGGGGGCTGCTCGTCATACACATGTTCTTTATCCCACAGAATATTGGATTTGTCATACCGGTCCATCTTCCTTCGGGTTTTCACAGCAAAAAAAACGATTAAAGCAAAAGCCACGATAATCATGAAGCCCAGGACAATGGCTATAGCCTAAAAGGAGAGGAAAGATATTGGCATAATTAACTTTATTTGCTTTAATTGAAATCCACCTTCTAGGAGCTAAAAAAAAACCCTTACCAAAGGGCCTGAGTACTTGCGGTTTCATGGGTGCAAAACTAAAATAACTTGCCACAGATTAGTCCTCTCATAAAAACTAACCTCACCAACTGGGCTAAAGCTAGCAAAACATATGCAAAGCGTGCCTGGACACACACCAAGTGATTCCGTGCTCAAACTCTGCTTAAAGGTAGAACTGTGCGCACCTCACTTCAGAGCCACAGGAAATGAGTTCTGGATCATGTGCGCCACTGTAGCTGCCATATTTTTATAAATAAGTGAAGACAGCCAGCAAAGTAATGACATCAATGGGTTTTTTTTTTGTTGGTGGTGGTTTTTTTTTGTTTTGTTTTGTTTTGGGTTTTTTTTTGGGGGGGGGGTTGGGGGGTTGTTTGTTTGTTTGTTTGTTTGTTTGTTTTTCGAGACAGGGTTTCTCTATGTAGTTTTGGTGCCTGTCCTGGATCTCACTCTGTAGATCAGACTGTCCATGAACTCACAGAGATCCACGTGGCTCTGCCTCCCGAGTGCTGGGATTAAAGGCTTGTGCCACCACCGAACAAGGGGCAATGTTTTTTGTTTGTTTGTTTGTTTGGTTTGAGACAGCCGAGACCAGCCTCCAACTCTCTGTGTAGCTGAAGATGACCTTAACCTCTTGGTCTTCCCGCCTATACCTCCCCAGGGCTAAGATTATAGACATATGCCCAGCCTCAATGTCTCACTTCTAAAGAGTTTGAAAAATGCCAATTTCAGAAGTAGCTTTAGATATTCAATCACGCCTATAACCCTGTTCGCGACGCATGCTTGGCAACAACTCTTTTTACACTGTATGTAAGCTGGGCCACAGGGGATCTGTCTTAACATAAATGAGAACGATATGAATCTAGCCAACCTATACATTAGAGCAAATGGACGAATGACTCCTTTGATCTAGCAAGTTCCTCTGTCTTCAATGCCTTGTGACAAGGAAGCCTCCTCCCCTTGATGGCTCGGCTCATCAGTGCCTGGCAGATGTATTAGGTGGCACACTGACCTGGGCACACTCGAATACGAGGCCAGTACCGGTCATCTCCTCATGGGTAACAGTAGGCTCTCCTTCCCGCTGTCTACCTCACAGTGACATCTGTTTTCAAAGAACATAGGTTTCAAGTAGCCAGAGGATTACAAGGGATGGTAGTGTGGTGAGATAGGCACACCGATTCTACCAGTTCTCAGTCCTCACCACAGACAGGCCTAAACAGTCTCAGCAAGGCTCCGAAAACCTACACCGGCAAGGAAAACACTCCACCTTCAAAATAAAGACAGGCAGACAGTGGAGAGAGTCCAACCCAAAAGAGTGACTCATTCGGGAAAAAGAAATGAGAATTCCTGAGTCAAGAAGAGAAAAAAGCAGCAGCAGCCACGGCAGCATCAGTGGTTTATTGTAATTAAGGTGACTCACGGTTTCCTAAGGTAGGGTTTTACACCCCCCCACCCCACCCCGGAACACATGGAATCACCTGGACAAAAAAGCACCAAGACGCTGGAAATTACCAAATTCATGAAAGAAATGGAAAGATACTCTATGTTCACTGATTAGAAGATTTACAATTTCGCTGGGCACTGGTTGCACACGTCTTTAATCCCAGCACTTGGGAGGCAGAGGCAGGTGGATCTCTGTGAGTTCAAGGCCAACCTGGTCTACAAAGTGAGCTCCAGGACAGCCAGGGCTACAGAGAAACCCTCCTTTGAAAAATCCACCACCCCCCCCCCCCCCCACAAAAAAAAAAAAAAAAAAGGAAAGGAAAGGAAAAAAGAAGACTTACAATTGCATTGATCAAAAAATTCCCTGAAATTGATCTATAGATTTGGGGCAACTCTTCAAAGTCCTAGCAGGTGGCTTGCAAAAAATTAAAACTTATTCTACCATGCACTAGGGCTATCCTAAAGGATAATACTAAAAATCAGATGGAAATGCAAGAAACACAGAATCTAGTCAAAATAATTTTGAGCAAAGTTAGAGAATCTGTACTTCACAATCCAAACTTATCATAATATTAAATAAAATAAAAAAGACAGTGGAGTATGGAAGTGTAAGGACAGAAATATATATGGGATCAAATGAGACTCCAAAAATAAATGTTCACATTTATGACACACAATTATATGTGTGTGTGTGTGTGTGTGTGTGTGTGTGTGTGTGTGTGTGTGTGTGTGGCATGCAAGAGTATGCAAGACTGCACTCCTTGTGTGTTGTGTGCACACCGGAATACTGGCCTCTAGGTGTACATGCCTATCCATGAGAGGAGGTCCAAGGTCAACAGCAGGTATCTTCCTCTATCACTCTTCATTGAGAAGCAGTCTCTCAGTGAACTGGAGCTTGACATTTCACCTAGACTGGCTGGCCCTTGAACCCCTGGGAGCTGCCTATTTTTGCCCTATCAGCACTGGGGTTACATGTGTACACCCACCATGCTTGGGGTTCTTGCATAGGTCTGGGGATCCAGAAACTCAAGTCCTCATGATTGTGCAAGCATTTTAGCCACTGAACCATCTCCAATCCCAATCTCCAGACCCAAGGCCTTGTGAACAATAAGCAAGCTTTCCACCAATGAGCTATGACCATTACCCATACAGTCAACTCATTTTGACACTGGCATGGAGAAAATTTAATGGACGTGGGAAGGTGGTTCATATGCCTGTAATTACAGCACTCAAAAAGCTGAGGATCACAATTTACAGGCCAGCGTGGGCTATACAGTAAGACCTTGGCTCCAAAGAGGAGAAATAATTAAAAAGAAAAAGCAACTTTTATGGAGAATATTCACTTTCTTTGATAAGACACCAAAAACAAAAACAAAAGAAAAATCAGACAAATGAGAGTCTATCAAAACTAAAAAGTTTTGTGTAAAGAATACCATCAAAAAAATAAACTTAAAAGGGGATCACCGGGCAGTGGTGGCGCACGCCTGTAATCCCCAGCACTCAGGAGGCAGAGCTAGGTGGATCTCTGTGAGTTCAAGGCAAGCCTGGTCTACAGAGCTAGTCCAGGACAGGCTCCAAAGCCACAGAGAAACCGTCTTGGAAAAAAAAAAGGGGGGG